ACTGCTCGCCGTTTTGGCAACTGCTCGCCGTCGTCCCACTGTAGCTGATGACGTCGGGCTCGTCCGTCGCCGTCCCCGCGCTTGCGATGCCCATGACTGGCTTCTCGCACGCCATGGTCCCAGCGATCTAGCTGATGACGTCGGCCTTTTCTTCGCCGTCCACCTCTCGATGGGTAGCGCCAGAGCCTGCTGACGCTGCCCGTCCTTCTTGCACACGCTGCACCCAGCGTTGACAATGTTGGGTTCTGGCTTCGCCGCCCGCTTCTCGCATTCGGCTGTCTCGAACGCCCTGACCCAATCGCTGTATCTGATGAAATCGGGCTCTATCTTCGCCTTCCCCTTTTGCTGAGTAGCGAGCGGAGGAGAAAAGGCGGGGCGAGGGGGGGGGGGGGGAAAGGCGGGAGCGGGGAGTAGAGGCCTCCCAGATGGGCTCCGAGTAGCTGGGGTCGGAGGATCGCACCAGATCGCCGATGCATCGGGGATGCATTGGCGGTGCATCGGCGATACATCGGCGATGCACCGGCGACGCATCGTCGATGTCGGCGATGAATCGGCGGCGCCGACGTGGAGAAAATCGGGCTCCACATCGAGCCGCATCGCCGATGCATCGGCGATGCGACTCCTCTGCATGGCGAGCGGGTGCAGTGCCTGTTGTCATTCGGCGTTCCGCAGCCCGGGAAGCCCCCCTGCTCCGAGGGAAACGTCTAGGAGGAGCAGGAGGAGGAGGAGGACGAGGAGGAGGAGGAGGAGGAGGAGGAGGAGAATGCGAGGGAGGAGGAGGAGGCGGAGGATGAGGAGCAGGATAAGGGAGGGAGAGAGGGAGGGAGGAGGGGAGGGAGGAGGAGGAGGAGGAGGAGGAGGAGGGGGGGAGGAGGGAGGAGGGGAGGAAATGAAGAGGATGGTACGTGGAAGGCCGCGCCAACCCATCTGGACAACCGGACCCTTGCCCAGCAGAGGCCGCGGTCCTGCGCCCCTTCTCTTCCCCGTCTCCCTTAATCCTCCTTCGTCCTCGCCCCCTGCCTCCCCTCCTGTCTCCCGCCTGCCTCCCGCGCCCCGCCTCCTGCCGCTTGCCTCCCTCCATCCTACTTCCTTCCCTCCACGCTCCTCCCTCCTCCGCCTTGCCTCCTCCTCCGCCTCCTCTCCCCTCTTCTTCCTCCTCCTCCTCCTCCTCCTCTCCCCCTCCTCCTCCTCCTCCTCCTCCTCCTCCTCCCCCTTCCTCCTCCTCTTCCCCTCCTCTCCTCCTCCTCCTCCTCCTCCTCCTCCTCCTCCTCCTCCTCCTCCTCCTCCTCCTCCTCCTCCGCCTCCTCCTCCTCCTCCTCCTCCTCCTCCGCGGCGCGCGAGTGCGAGGCCGCGCGGCGGGCGGGCGGAAGGTCCGTCTGGGTGGCGATCGCGGCCCGCCTGCGGGCGGCGCGGGCCAGGCGCGGGGGCCTCGCCCGCAAGCGATGGCCGGGCGCGACTCCGCGCGGACTCCGCCCGCCCCAGCCCTCCCGCCACGAGAACTGCGCCCATGCACCGCACCGTGCCTGCATTCCCGTCGGGCCTCGCCCCAGCGCGGCACAGTGCATAACGTGTGGGGCTCCGAGGGGGTGCTCGGAGCATGCACCGTGCCATCGCGACTGCGCCTCGGGAGACGCCGACACGGGACGGAGCACACGAATGTCGCCCGCAGATCCCACGCCGTGAGTGAAGCAAGGTCCCGCAAAATTTTCGGCGGAAGCCCAGGACTCGTCTCAACCAGGACCCCTTTCCCTCATGTCAACTCGCCACCTCGCCCCCCCCCCTCTGTGCGAAGCGCTCATGAAGGGGCCCTGGGACACACAGAAAAATACACACAAATAAAAATATTCCCCATATTCCCCCAAATTGTTTGGGCTTCTGTCTCCCCCACCACTTCCCATGTTTTCCTAGATCTTCCTGGGGGATCGACGATTCATTGTGTCCGTGTGTGTGTGTTTTCCCCTCGTTGGTCAGGGCGTACCGGTGCGCGCCCGAAGGTCTCGGACGGCCAGGAAGCCCGGAGCCATAGCGATCTCCACGGCCGCCTTTGCTGCGGCAGAGCGGCGCTGCCGAAGCCGTGCGAGGCCGCGACGCCCGAGCAGCGCAGGGAGAGGCACGGTGTGCCGCGGGGACGGGGCTCTGCAGCTGGCCTCGGAGCTGGCGCCGGATGTCATGGATGCCAATGCGCGCGGGGGCAGTTGCAGCAGGTTGCGGCCAGCACAGGGCGAGGAGGGGGGCGGAGGAAGAAGAGGAGCGAGGGGAAACGAGAAGGGGGAGGACCAGCTCGGGGGGGGGGGCGCCTCGACCCGAAATCGGCGATGGGGGAGGAGGGGGCGGAGGAAGAAGAATAATAAGAAGAAGAGCGAGGGGGAACGAGAGGGGGGGAACAGCTCAGGGGGGGCGCCCCGAAATCGGCGATGGTGGAGGAGGGGGCGTAGGAGGAAGAAGAAGAAGAAGAAGAAGAAGAATAAGAAGAAGAAGAAGAAGAAGAGTGAGGGGGAACGAGAGGGGGGGACCAGCTCGGGGGGGGCGCCTCGACCCGAAGTCGGCGATAGATCGCCGTGAGGCATACAAGAATCGCACGATCCCAGGCAGCATTGGGGCACTCGGGCCTTGCCTGTCGGTGAAGGAACGATATTAGAAGAAGAAAAAAACATGAGCATAAACTTTCGGCGCTCCGCGCGGATTTCTCGGATTCGCGCTGGATCCCCCTCCCTGGCGCACGGAGCGCGCCAGGGCCGGCGCCGGAGGCGCCGCCGGGGGGGGCGCAGCGCAGATCCAAGAAATCCGCGCGGAGCGCCAAAAGTGCAGGTGTATGGCATTTTGACGTATAAGCGTCCCTCCTTCCTCTCGGCCGTCCCCACCCCCTCTCTTTGCCCGCCGGCTAATTCGCTAGCTCGTGCCCCGTTCTAGCTTCTCGCTGGAGCGGAGTTCGCCGCCTCGCCGCCGACGAAAAAAGTGTATGGCGTTTTTTCTTTTTCGACAAGGGCTCCTAACTTCGCGCTTCGCGCTGCGCGAAGCGCGAACAACTTCGCGCTCTCGCGCCGCCCCGACAGGGGAGAAGAGGAGGGCGAGGAGGAGGGGGAGGAGGAATGAGGCCCGCGGAGCGCGAAGCGCGACGAACTTCGCGCCCTCGTGGGAGCCCCTGCTCGAGACATGGGGGTTGACCCCCCCCCGTGAGCCGACAGCCATCGTGTCACCAGACGGGGCGCGGAAGCAAAGGAACGAAGCGGGGCGCTTCCGGCCACGACGGGCCTCCGCCACGGAGGACTTCTCCCCGGGCCGAGGCCGCAGGAGCGGCCCGGGGACCAGGGCCTCTGCCGAGCCCCACGTGGCCCGATTGTAATGTCAGGTCGGGCATGTCCCCCTCTACAGGCAGATCTTGGACGAATAACCAAACATACCCAAACCACGCTCCAGCATAATCAAACAAAACACAGAAAGAAATCGCCCCCCAGACTATGTTTTATCTGTTTTGGAATATTCCTCCGGTAGAGGGACACGCCCGACCTAATTATAATACCGCCGAGCATCTGCTCAATCAAATTATTGTCTTAGAAATCTGCACCAGCTTTCCGGACATGTCTGAAAACGAGCCTGGACCGATTTCTGCTGTTGACGCTGGAGGTGCGAGCGTGCTCAAGAAACGGGGCCAGCGTTCCGGTAAGCTGGTTGAGAAACGCTGGTCCAACACTCCGTGAAGAGATGTCTTATCAGATGCTCGACTGTATCTCCCCATCTCGCTGCTCCTGAAGAGGGTATCGATGTTGGTATCGGCACGGTTCGAGAAGCCGAAGAATTAATTCGTGCTGCTGAGAAGACAGGTGGGCAAACGGGTGGTCCCATCCTCAACCAGACGAGCCCCGACCAAAGAGGGAGCCTGGAACAGGGCCGATTCCCAGGGCAGCTCCCCCTGAAGAGGGGGTCGGTTGGCGGCGCGCACAAGGGGGTGGAGGGAGGGGGGATGCCTTCTTAGAAGGAGGCTGCTTCTTAGAAGGCGCCCGTCTTATATCTATGGATAAGGCTAAGGCCCGCGCCTTCTAAGAAGCAGGGGTGCTTCTAAGACGCCCTCCCCCCTCCCCCCACCCCCCTCTGTGCGTGGCTGAGCAGGGGGAGGCGAGGACGATGGCGAGGAGCGAGCCAGCAACACGACGACAACTGGCATGGAGAAGGCGAGGCTCCACTCTGTGACGCCGGCCCTGGACCCGACCCTCCCCCGCGGGACCACTCCGCTCGCCCTGCACGCCTCTTCGACGGCGGCACGCGTCACTGCTCCGGCCTTGCAGACGTGCTGCAGCGGATTCCTGCGTGGATTCCTGCCAGTGCAATATCCCAGAACGGCGAGCGAAAAACGTAGTGAATTTCACGTGGATGTTTTGTAGTCTTCATTCCTGGCCCCCAAAACAATCCGCACGAAATTCACTTCGAAGTAAATCATCCAGGATAGATCTGGGCCCATCCCACTGCTTTCCGAACGAAGTCCGCTCTGCGATGTTGGCGCCATGACATGCGGCCCGTAGAGGTCCTCCAGATCGGCGGCTGCCACAAACGGCCCAACACGGGCCTCACGCGAGATGACGTAGCGACCTTACGCGGCGGCTCACGCGGGCCGCCCGCGCGGCACGCCACACTGAAGGCGAGGGCGATCACGCGCGACCTTACGCGGGCAGCTGACGCGCCAATGCCGGCGCAGACGACCCCGCTTTGTTGCGTCGCTTCGGCGCCCCGAGCCCCTCTCGGGCCCCCCATTGGGCCTCGGCACGGCGAGGCCGCGGAGGCCTCCCGCCTCCTGGCAGAGCTCCCGGGGGCACCTGGGGCCTCGGGGGCACTTCGGGCAGCACCCGGCCCGGAGCCCGCACGCAGCGACGGCCTCCCGGACCCGCTCGGCCCAGGACCCCTTCGGCTCGCGGGCGGTTATGGAAGACCCGGGCTCCCCAACCGAACGAGCACAAACACCTCTTGGAGGGCAGCCTTCTGCTTCCGCCGGCGACGCCGCCCCCTTTTTACTCCCGCCGCCTCCCGCCCAGAAAGGGATGCCCACTCCTTGAGCAGGGACGGGCCGCCCTGGCATTCATTGAGGCCTACCATGAGGTGTTCTTAGAATCGGGCGAAGAGAACTATGCACATACACCGATCCTGGCCAGGCCCATCCTTGACCCAGGATCGGTGCATATGCCTTCCTGGCCAAGGTAGGAGGGCGTATGCACCGATCCTGGGCTCAGGATGGGCCTGGCCAGAATCGGTGTATGTGCATAGTTTGTATTTTCCTTTATAGAACGAAACAATGCTCTAGAAATTTTCTCACATAAAGCGGATGTGCTGAACATCCTCTGGTGGGACGATAGGCAGGCAGGGGCGCTTCGCCACTGCTTGACCTCCCTCGATCCTCGAGGGCGAGGCCCTCTCTAGAGCGCGAGTCTCTGTGGCGAGACGACGACGACATCGTTGTCGTCGTCGCCGCCGTCGTCGTCGTCGCCGCCGTCGTCGTCATCGTCGTCGTCGTCGTCGTCGTCGTCGTCGTCGTCGTCGTCGTTGTCGACCGGCGGCGACGACGACGACGACGACCACGGCGGCGGCGGCGGCTGGCGGACTGCCGGACCCGCGCCGCCCGCCTCATCGACGTCAGGGTGCTCTGGGCTTTGGCGGTCACCTGTGCGGGGCGCGGGCAGGGGGGGGGGGGCCCGCCCACCTCAGCGACGAGCCAAAAAGGGTATAACGCAAGATGGCACAGCGACCCGACGACGCACTCTACGAGGGCCGCCAGCGCGGCACGTCACAGTGGACAGGAGGGCGCTTACGCGCGGCCTTGGGAGGGGCAGCTCACGCGCCAAGGCCGGCGCAACCGAACCCGTGTCCTGCGTCGCTCACCTGGCCCCGCCCGGAGTGGCCGAGGCGTCGGAGGCCCAGGTGCGTCCAGGAATCGTGCGACCACGAGGGACATGATGAAGGAGGAACGAGCCTATGACTTCAAACGATCTTTGATGTGTGCGCGTTTGCCTCGGGAAGCGCCCTTCGCATGGTTGGCGGCTCCCAGTGAGGCAAATATAGCCACTTGGATCTAGGTGAGATCACACTCCCCTGGCGCTCCGGAACCACGAGAGTGGCGACAATTGCACAGTTGGCAGCCCCCCGGGGGGGCGCGAGGGAGGGTAAGCAAGGTACAAACGAAGAGGAAACGAGGGGGAAGTGAGAAGGAAACGAGGAGGACGCAGGGGCGGGAAAGGAGAGGAGCAGCATGCGTTCTATTCAAAACGAGTGCTGCGAAGCCCCGCACTCTTCACAACTCGGACCAGGCGCCCCCATCACACTTGTCCCATTTGCGTGGCTGAGGTATGCTACTGCCGAAACTTAGGCAAATCGGCTCGAGCTGGGCTGATTTGTTCCATCAGTAGTCCAGGCCAATATTTCGGCAGTCCAGATTGTCGGCCCCTTGACAGAGCCAGGCCGTTTATCGAATGAACGCATCTTTGGAACATATGCCATGTGTGCCATTCCTGGGGTGCTCCGCAACGTCACAAGAGGGCCTCATACCGACCCACCGCCCCGCACTTTGAGCACCACCGCAGACGCGGACCACGCTTTCACTGCTCGCTGAGCACGCGCGCCTGGCCACCGGGGCACGCAGCATGAGGATCGGGGTCGGTCAGTCGTTCGGGTGCCACTTCCATGCCACCCGCGACAACGCTTCATGCTCCCGCGACAGCGCACGGGCGGGCGGTGGAGAGCGGGCTGAGTGAGAGCTTAACGTTGTGGATGCCATGACAATGGACACTCTGACAAGCCTATCATTGAATTAAATCTGTGTTCCAAATGTGTAACACATGTTCTAACCATGTTTCGAACATGCTTTTCACATCAAAAAAACATATGGGGAACATCTTCTAGGCCTCTGGACAGTATTTGGCAGCATGCTTCCTCTCCATTCACCGACTTCCAGAAGCTTCGTGGGGAGGCGGCGAGGCGCTGGAGCAGAGGGAAGGCGAACAACTCCGCGGGCGGCCGCCTCGTTCGCCCTCTTCATGGTGCGCTCGCCCGTGTGGGGGCTCCTCCGCGCGGGCTTCGCGAAGGGGCTGGCCAGGCGCCGCCGCGGAACACTCCACGGGGATGGCGCCGCGGAGCTCGAGAAGACGGGCAGGGTTGAGCCAACCGTTCACGAGCGTGCCAAAAGGGGGAAGGAAGCGGAAGCACTAAGGGGCAAGAGGCGCGCACGGTGGAACGCAATGTTCATCGTATGTCTTAACGGAGGGTTTCGATGGAGTGTGGGGGGGCGGGGGGGGCGGGCAGTGACGAGCATGAGAAGGCAAGATCCACGATCCAAGTGGCCCCAACCATCAACAACTCCCTCCTCCGACACACGCACGCACTTGTTTGCCCGAGTCGGACGGGGACCCGCATTCGCCGTGCGCTTGAAGTGAACGAAGGACGAGGCCACGAGTATCGCGACCCCGTCCCCTAGGTTGCCCAGGGTGCCCCAGAGACCAATGTACGTGAGTCGCATGTGAAACAGAGGAGCCATATCGGCGAGATAGGTTTAACAGGTGGGCGCAGCACAGCGCTGCGAGGAGGAAAATGTGGCCTCGAACGCAAGGGGTGGGCACTCAAATGGAACTGGTCGTGAGCAGGCAGGTAGAACAGCAGGAACGTGCCCAGAAGACCTGTGTAGTGACACATGTTCACCCCTTCAAACACTCCTTGTGCGGCTGCAGCTGCCAGGTTTCACAACAACATCCTAGTTCAACGGTGCACGCAACGAAACCAGACTTTGGCACGGTATACCCTCACCGAATACGCTTATATCACAGTACTTGCACTCCTGGAGACGTTCGTGGACAACGTGAAATTCCGACCCGCATGTACCCCGCCGGACACGTCCATGCTCAGGCTCGGATTCTGCCACCCTCGACCCGTGCCCAGATGTGCGCCTTCTAGATGGCAGGCGCGACCAGGGAACATACAGGCACTGCTGCTGCTCATCATCTTCATCCTCCTCTCCTCGGTGCTCCCTTCTTCTCTCCCTTCTCCCCCGCTGCCCATGGGGGAGGGCTCCGCAAGGCTTTTCGATAAGCCTCCGCGTACTGGCTGCACACCCGCTCCAACTCGTCGGCCAGCTGCAGCAGCCTAGACGAGCCGTCCTGGCGGGCTCCCCCCCTCCTGCCGCCGTTTCCGTGATCCTCTCCTTGGCCGTATACTCCGTACACTCGCCCTGCTTCCCTCGGGCCCACTCAGATTGCCCTCAAGGTTCTCAGGACCGCAGGCACACCCGCAAGCCTGGTAGCCGATCTCCACTAGCTTCTGATCTGATGGCCGTGTCCTTAAGATGACACCAGTAGGGTCCCCAATGCCCCCAAGAGGGCCCCAAGCTAGCCAACCAGCATCCAGCATTGCCCCAAGAAGGCACAAAGACGGCCCCACCCAACCTCCAAGAGACTCCCAGACCGAAAGATCCGCGAGGGCCTGCATGGTTGACTCATGGGTCGGCTCAGGCTGTTCCCGAGATTCGGTTTGACGGCTGGCCACTTCTGCTTGCTCCGCTGCATGCTCCTGCGCATCGCTGGCCAAAACAACTCGCCCGGGGGTTCGCTCCTGGATGGGCAGGTTGGGATGCGCGCGAAGCGTCACCAATACATACAACGCCCCCCCCCCAGCGGGAGCGCAGCGAGCGCCGTGTGGCCTGGGCCCTGTAGGACTGGCGAAGTACAGCGAGAGGGGCAGGAGATGCGGCCACGCACCTTTGCTGTGCGTGTCGCCTGCGGCGGCCCGACGACACACTGTGCCTTGCAAGCGGAGAATGTGTCGCTCCGCTCTGCGGGGCGGGAGGCTCGGAAAACCTCTGAATATTCACGCCTCGGGATCAGAACATGGATCCCGTGTCACCCCAACGCGCCGTGGGCCAGATCTAGCGGAGCGGCACGCCATCCAAAAGGTCTGACCGCAGCGAAACAGATAAAAACAAGATCTACCTAGCATGAAACGGGCAGGGCAGGCGAGAAACTGGACCCGCACAGTCGCACCAACCCTCACCAGAACAGCTCCCAACGGCGCACTCCCACTCCTCGTGGGCCTCTTTTTGGATCCCAGGCGGTTCCAGGATGGCCCCAATACAGTCCTTACGAGCTCCAAGATGGCTCCAATTTTGGCGCGACCACCATCCCTAAGAGCCGCAATGGACCCCCAAGAACTTTCCGAGGAATGCCCATCATTCAATGTCGTGTTGCCGGGTTTCCGCATGTTTGCACCCTCGGTCGTCGGAACGCCCAGTGCGGCCCTAGAGGCCCCCAAGATCGGCCCAAGAGGACTCCAGGAGGGCCTAAGGTGGCCCCAAGGGGGCTCCGCGATGGCCCAGGAAGGCTCCAGGATCGCCCAAGAATGCCACAAGGCACCCCAAGAGAGCCCAAGTGCACCGAGAGGGCTCCGACAAGGGCCCAACCAAAGAGAGGCCCAAATAGCCCCAAGACACTCCCCAAACGTCTGCGAGACACGGAAGATTGCCACAACTGCGGCCCAACTTGCCAAGAGCGCCCGCCATGGCTCCCGCTCCGCGGCGCGGGCTCAATGCGTTCCGTGCGTTGAGCTCGGCGCTTGTTACGTTTCCTGCTCGCCCCCGCATGCCTCCTACTCCATCTCGCCTCCTCCTCCTCCTTCTTCTCGTCCTCCTCCTCCTCCTCCTCCTCCTCCTCCTCCTCCTCCTCCTCCTCCTCCTCCTCCTCCTCCTCCTCCCCCTTCCTCCTCCTTTGGGTCTCCTCATTCCCTTCACTTTCGATCATCACCTCCTCCTCATCCTCTTCCTCCTCGATATGTTCTTCTGAGTCCTCCTCCTCCTTCTCCTCTCTTCCTCTTCGGGATGGAAAATCATCCACGCAATCTCTGTTAAGGAAGAGGCTCCATTTTTCATGACGGTTGGCGGGGGGTACGCCTTGTCGGCACATGCGTCCGCCAACGGCGTCCACCAGGAATCGCAAGGGGAGTGGGCGACGTGGAAGGGGCTGCACAACCACCCGACGATCAAGAAATCGGGGAATGCGTGCAACAGCTTGCTGGCCCGCGCGCATCAGGGGTCCAAGAGCGTGAAGGTCACAAAAGGGCGTGGCCGAGGGAGGCGGGCGACGGCCAACGGACCTCTGGCGGAAAAATCACGCGCAAGATGTTTCCCAAACAGTCGGCCATCCCGCGTACTTGACATTTCGATTAAACAATACGGATGCACGACTTGATATTTGGTGCCGACTGGTGGTCATATGGTGAGATGTGGCCTCTGGGGCAGGTGGCTGAGACCATGAAGGCGTTTGACCATGGGCTCAAAGAGACGAAGCTGAAGGAGCTACAAGTGTACATGGAAATCCTTGGTAGAGACACGATTGCACTGCAAGCCAAAATCACCCTACGATGTCACGAGCCGTGGCTTCTTACTGGTGCTCTCTGGCGGCGCGGAAGAGCAGGAGACCGCCGGAGTGGGATTCCTGCTCGCCCCGAAGCTGCGAGCGAGCGTAATTCGATTCATGACGATCTCTCCGAGGGTCGCGCTGGTGCAAGACTGCCGGTCTGCGGTGGCAGCGTCGCAGTCTTCAGCGTCTGCGCGCCGCACAACGGCAAACCCGCAGAGGCGAGGCGCGAAGTCCACCGAACGCTCCGCGCTACAATTCGCGATGCCTCCGATCATGTCTGGCTAATGCTGTTGGGGAAATTCCATGCGAGGTCACGCCAACAACTTCCGTCCGATTCTCTGAACGTCGGGCAGTACGGCGTCGGCTGCCCCCCCGCTCATCCCGACGCGCGAATTCAAATCGCACATGATCACGGGGCTTTGCGGCACCCATAGGTTGGCTTGCCATCGCTCGGACGTCCATTCCCCGTTCATTGTTTGGTTTCGCACTTTTTTTATCCGTGTGACCCAGTCTGCTCCAAGATGGTCTATATTTGCTGGCGCTCGCCTCGCCGAAAAAATGCACACGTCCCAGCGATGCCAAGTTGTCGATAACCAGTACATCTTTCGGCCACTCGTCCGAATTGCCAATGACATGTGGTAACGTTGGGCCCGGATTCTCAAATCCAGCCCTTCCAGAGCACTTTGGACAAGTCGGTGTTCTGGTATGTTCTGAACGTGCGGGGCTGAAGAGCTGTACCTGTGGCGTCGCACCACTTCTTGCGATTGTGTCACAGCCATGCGAATCTGCCAGGATACGCTCAGACACACTGACGCCAGGCATGCGCGCACTGCAACGGGGCCGCCCTCAGGCAGACTGCGACGTCTGCATCACGACCTCCAGTATTCAGCGTATCTCAAAGATGCCCTCTATCACCAATCTTCTTTTAACTTGCCACGGCGCTTCTGATGCACGATGACGATCAGGCATTCCAAGCGCACAAGCTTGTCGAAGATAATGGGCCCCCCGCCATCGAACTTACTAATGCAGACAGTGCGCTTCTACCTGGAGTGCGAGATGAAGCCGTGGGCATACTCAGGCACGACATCCAAGGAGCTGGGTCGAACTCCTGCCTCGCCTTCAACTGGGGCAATGTCGAAGTCATGCTGGTGCGCTACGAGACAGCCCTCGCCAAGCCAGTTGGACGGCGCGTCCCAGACAAGGAGAGTCTGGTTCACTTCTCTTTTGGAGGGAGGAGATGCAGAACCGCCGCGAAGCTCCAACGATGCTGTCACAACCCCTGCGCTGCCTGCTGGGCGTGCCCGCCTGGGCGAACGACGTCTCCCCCCAGCGACAAGACAGCCGCTTGCTGAATGGGAGAGCAGGGTTTTCCTGGGATGAAGGGGAATTGGGACACACAAATAAATACACACAAATAAAAGCATCCCCCATATTTTCCCATATTTTCTGGGTTCTGGTCTTCCCCCACACTTCCCATATTTTCCCATATTTTCCTGGGAATCGCCGATTAATTGTGTCTGTGTGTGTTTTCCCCTCCTGATGGGAGGAGGAGGAGGAGGAGGAGGGAGGAGGAGGCGGAGGAGGAGGAGGATGAGGAGGAGGAGGACGAGAGGAGGAGGAGGAGGAGGAGGAGGAGCAGGAGGAGGAGGAGGAGGCAGGGTTTTCCTGGGAGTCTTGCTGGAAGCCGCGGGGCGGACATGTTCAGAAGAGAGGCCGCCGGCTCGGCACGGCACCTGCCGACCTCCAAAACGTGGCGGCATGCCCGGGTGGCGCTGCGCAAGAGAGCGACGAGATTCGAGTCTCGTCACGGGGTTTTTTTCCCTTCCTCTTCAGGCCTTTAATGAGCCCCCTCTTCCTCCTTCCTCGTCCCCGAAACTCCTGGGCCCGTTTTCTCGGTCCTGTTCGGCCCCCGCCCCTCTGGCGGGAGCATGTGTCGGGGGGTGACCCCCCCCCACGCGCCTCGGGCGCGCGCGCGTAGCTTCGGCCGCGCGGACGGCTGCGTCCAACTGGACATCGAGCCGATAGCGATAGCGATAGCGACGAGATTCGAGTCTGGCAAATGTCAGATGACCTGGGCTACATTGAAGGGGCCCCAGGACACACAAATAAATACACACGAATAAAAATATTCCCCATATTTTCCTATATCTTCTGGGTGTCTGTCTTCCCAACCGCTTCCCATATTTTCCCATATTTTCTGGGGAATCGAGGATTAATTGTGTCTGTGTGTTTTTTTCCCTCCTGATACATGCACACGCTCTGGCTAGGCGGCGCATAACGCAACATACTAGATGCACTCCAAGCCCAATGCCTGTGGCGGCCTGCAGGTGTTGGTCATTCCTACTACAGCCGCGCAAGCAACGTCACAGGGCTGCAACCTTGCGGCGTGCAGAATTTGAGTTCTGTGCTCACGTTCCAAAAAAAGAATCATGCTGGGCCAAATCGACCGCAAGTCGAACGAACACCCGGTACAAAGATGCGCGTGCCGCCCCGACTCCTTTGACCTTGTGCTGCTAGCGGCCCGGCGGAGGGGCAGGCCGCGCAACACTTGGAGGATCCGCCGGCCCCCTTGTGGGGCCACCAGGCTGTAGGCGCGGTTTCGCAGTTTCCCGTACCAGTTGTAGCTTGCAGTTTCCAGTGTTACAGTTCTGCTTATTGCTGGTTACTGTAACTAGTTGATTGACCGCGCGAGGGGGGGGGGAGGCCCAAACCGGCATTTTAGCACCCCCTGCGCGCGTTGTCTGAATTGCTGGGGGGGCTCGAAATCGACACCCCTCACACAGATCGGCGGGGCCAGGGTCCAAAAACAGATGGGATTTGCCACATTTCTGAAATTCGGTGCCACCCCTCACGCAGATCCGCAGGGTCAGGGTCCAAAAACACAAGGGATTTGCCACATTCCTGAAATTCGGTGCCACCCCTCACGCAGATCCGCGGGGTCAGGGTCCAAAAACACAAGGGATTTGCAACATTTCTGAAATTCGGTGCCACCCCTCACGCAGATCCGCGGGGTCAGGGTCCAAAAACACAAGGGATTTGCCACATTTCTGAAATTCGGTGCCACCCCTCACGCAGATCCGCGGGGTCAGGGTCCAAAAACACATGGGATTTGCCACATTTCTGAAATTCGGTGCCACCCCTCACGCAGATCCGCGGGGTCAGGGTCCAAAAACACATGGGATTTGCCACATTTCTGAAATTCGGTGCCACCCCTCACGCAGATCCGCGGGGTCAGGGTCCAAAAACACATGGGCTTTGACACATTTCTGAAATTCGGTGCCACCCCTCACACAGATCCGCGGGGTCAGGGTCCAAAAACATATGGGATTTGCAACATGTCCGAAATTCGGTGCCACCCCTCACGCAGATCCGCAGGGTCAGGGTCCAAAAACACATGGGATTTGGCACATTTCTGAAATTCGGTGCCACCCCTCACGCACATCCATCGCAAGGCGTGGTAACCCAAACTGCGTGAACTCCCTCGGCCCTTCAATCGCAAGGTGTGGTAACCAAGCCCGTAAACCATACACGTCTTACAAATCGCCAGGTGTGGTAACCCCTCTTGTGATCAGTTGGTTTTGCTGATTGCGAATCGGCTTCGCATGAAGTTTCGATACTGCTTCACGACAGCGCCAAGGCCTCATGACTTAGCTCTTCCATGGCCCATTCTCCGAGAGAGGGGGCCGGCGGCAGGGGGCGAAGCCCTTACGGATAAAGGTACATGCGCTCGCACGCAGTGCGGCCAGCGGCATAGAACAACTGAACGCATTGTGGGGCCGTGATCTGGGAGGTCTATGAGTAACGCACAGTGGCCAAAACTATTTCAGTTGCAGTGCAACTGCAGTGTATGAGTGTTTCTCGATAGTCAGGTATATCGTCTCCTCCTCCTCCTCCTCCTCATCATCCTTGTCCTCCTCCCTCCATTGATGCTTGCCAAGAATCGGCATAAAATCCTCAAGTGTGGTTTGATAATCTTTGTAGTTCTCAAATAAATGTGAATAACAGGGGCCCAGAAATGACACTTTGCAGGTTTCATAGTTTCATCCTTGTGCGCTCGAGGAGGTCCACTGACCACGAGACGTCAATACGCTGCCTGGCGCACAGCAGAGCCTCCGAAAGTGTACTATAACAGGTTGTTTCACCATCTTGCCAATGTGACACTGACGTGCACGGCTTTCTGTATTGGGCGGCGAGCCTGAGGGGAAGTGAGAAGGAGCGGGCCTTCTCCGAAAGCTGAGAAGTCCTCGGGCCTTCCGAGAAGTCTCCTAAGCCTTCCACGGAGACGCAGGAAGCTTATCAGAGGGCGCCAGGGCTTCTCAGAAGCCCCGCCGCCTTCTGAAAAGGCCCTCTCCCTGAGGGGCAACGATAGGGGGGGGATATACATAGGGGGGGAGCATCGAACTGGAATCGGCGATACATCGCCGATAGATCGGCGATAGGCTCCCGATAGTGAATCCGCACCTTCCTGGGCGGGTTGGGGCTATTGAGCCCCTATCGGCGATCAATGGGCGATTGGGGGTCGATGCATCCCCCCTATGCCTATCCCCCCCTACCGTTGCCCCTGACTCCCACTCATTCCCCTTCCCCCCGGGCTGGCATCCGATCTCTCTCTCTCTCTATCTCTTCCCCTCGCTCCCTCTGCTGGTCGATCCTGGTCCGCCCCCGTCAGCCACCGACTGCCCGCCCCTCCCACGTCCCCTCGTCGTCGTTATCGCCGTTGCTTCCTTGTCCTCGTCGTGGTCGTCGTCGTGCTGTCGTCGTCGCTGATGCTGCTCCGCCCCCGTCAGCCCCCTACTGCCCGCCCCTCCCGCGCCCCTCGTCGTCGTTATCGTCGTCGCTCCCTTGTTCTCGTCGTGGTCGTCGTCGCTGCTGCTGCTGCGGCCAACCTGCTGGCTGCCAAGGTTTTCCGTGCTCTCGTAGGCCAGCATTCCCTGCCGGGCAGTGAGCGGGGGGGGGGGATGCTGGCGCGAGATCCCGTAAGAAGGCCGATCCACCTCCTCCTCCCTCCCTCACCCCCCCTCCGCATGACGCGGACAGGCTGGTGATCAGCGGGCCTCTGGGGGGCTCACAGGCCGCGAGGAGAAGATGTTCCTGGTCACTGCATCAGCTCCAATTCTAGGTGTCGACGCTACGGCTTCTGGCTTCCGGTTCCAATGTGGTAGGGGCAATCGGACGCGCGAGGACCCCGGCCAAAACTACGCTCCCAGAATCACGTGCTCTGCATTTCTGCAGGCGCTGGGGCAAGAAAACGAAACAGCAGACCTGCGCTCCCCCGAGGCGACGGTCCCTCGCTCGCCCTCCCGAGGCCGCAGCCCCAAGTGAATGATAATGGAGCCGCGCTCCAGTGTAAATTACCTCCTGTTCGCGCCCCGGTGGCCACAACCGGTTGACATCTGAGCAGATTCGCGCTGCCGGAGCGACAACCCGTTGAACACCACTGCGCAACCGCCTCCCCGAAGCCAGAGCCCTTTGTACATTGCTCCGCTGTCGTTCTCTGGAGGCCTCACTATCTCCTATATCTTTTAGCGCCGAAGCGCTGCCGAAGCCGCTACCCCTTTTGAATGACACAACGCTCGCAAATTCAAAGACACAACTTCGAATATTACAGCAGAGTCGCGTAGGTCACACTCCTTCGTATATTACAAAACAACCGCGCTGCCGAGGACAAGCCCATGCAATGCACTGCGCTGTCGCACTCCCGAGACCACAACCGCTCGTAGGTTCTATACACTCGTGCCCCCGAAGCCACAACCCGTAGTAGACTACGACGCGCTCGGCTTCTGGAGGCCACACTCCTTCGTACATTGCGTCGCGCTCGAGCTCCCCATGCCAGAACTCCTTGTACAATACAACGGCCTCTTGCATCCCAAGCCACAAACCATTGCCAAGTATGAGAGACTCGTGCTCCCGAGGCCGTGCTCCTTGAAACTTATGGCGCGCTCGCGTTCACGTGGCCACAACCCCTCGCAAATGACGTCGCACTTACGCTCCCGAAGGCACACTCTCACATTAATATATATATATATATAGATATATAGACAGATAGATAGATAGATAGATAGATAGATATATATAGATAGATAGATATATATATATATATATATATATATAGATATATATATATATAGATATATAGATAGATAGATAGATAGATAGATAGATAGATAGATATATAGATAGATAGATAGATAGATAGATAGATATATATAGATAGATATATAGATCGATAGATATATATATATATATAGATAGATATATATATATATATATAGATATATATATAGATAGATATATATATAGATAGATAGATAGATAGATATATAGATAGATACATACATATATACAGATATAGATATATATATATCGATAGATATATAGGTATATAGATATATAGATAGATATATAGATATATATAGATATAGAGATATATAGATATATAGATAGATAGATATATAGATATATAGATATATAGATATATAGATATATAGATAGATAGATAGATAGATAGATAGATAGATAGATAGATAGATAGATAGATAGATATGTGTATGTTATGTTGCGACACTTTCACATTCCCGAAAACATCACCAGCCGTAGGGTACTGCGCGCATCCGTCCCCGTCCCAGGCCACACCTCGCTTCACACTACGATTCTTCCAAACACCCGAAGCAGCACTCACTTGTAAAGTACAGCAAGGGCTCGAGCTCCAGAGGGCACCCTCCCCTGCTCATTACTGCAGCGTCGCGCTCCCGGCGTCCCACGAGCCCCACCCACGGAGCTGCCCCAGAGCGCCCCGCACCAGAACCGAACAAATGCGATTTTCTGTCATAGTGTTCGCCCCTCCTCTCCCGCCCCCCTGCCCCCCCTCCCTCCTCCCTCCTCCCTCCTCCCTCCTACCTCCCTCCTCCCCTCCTCCTCCCATCTCCCTCCTCCCTCCCTTTCTCCTCAATGGAGGGTGAAAGTGGGGGTCGGGCGCAGGGTCCCGGCAATGGTGTCTTTCTGCTGTGTTCGGCGGGGGAACCACTTGAAACTCCCCGCCTGCATCCGTGCGCGGGACTTGAGGGTAAACGAAGCAAGCGGGCGGGGGGCTCGGGAAAGGCGACGAAGGCAACGTGCGCTGAGGGCCCCCAGAAAAGGTTGGAATCAACGAACGCAGTGAGGTTAGTGTCAAAATCTACCCAGCCAATCTGACATGCGGAACGCTGTGCCTCAGTTTTGGGGATCTTGAAGGCCAGGGCAGCATGTGAATTCACATTGTGGGGAAAACAAAATGTGAATTCACATGTCTGGATAAAAAGAAAATGTGAATTCACCTTTCGGGAGAAAGGAAAATGTGAATTCACATGTTGGAATTTGGTGTGGGAATCTCCATGAAAGGGGCCAGAATCTGAATTCACATGTTGAGGAAAAGGACACTGTGAATTCACACTTAGGAAAAAAAGGAAAATGTGAATTCACATTTTGGGAGAATCGCGGGGCCCCTTCCAAATCTGTCTTCCGGGTCGACAGGTCATCGTTTGGGAACATACGGGATCATCAATCGCACAATCAAGACACACTTGCATTCCACTTCGCCGCCCCACGCGCAATATGCAAGAACGCCTGCGCGCATGAACGATCCTGGATGGATGGCGCGTTTGCCCGCGCGGGCAACGCGCGGGCACGAACAACTGGCCCTCCATGACCGCCAACATTGGATGCCAATCGTACCCGATCACATACAGGAGCGATACATTGAGCATACGTGGGCCAGCCCCCATGGAAGACCCCCTGTTGCAGACCCCCTCTTTCACCCTCCAACTCAGCGCCCGCTCAAGAGGCCCGCCCCGGGCCCAGAGCCAGCGCCAGGGCGCCCCCGGCGCCGCCCCCGTTCCACCCCCTCCGCTCCCCCCCGCCCCGCCACCCCCCACCCCTCTCTCCACCCACTCCCCCCCGGGTGATTTCCTGAAAGTTCGCCCTGGGCCCGAGGCCACCAACCCACTAGAGCAGCCCATGCTTCGCGCTCCAGAGGCCGCGAACCCTCGCAAACGACGTGGGAAGCGCGCCCCACAGGTCCTCGAGCCAGGTTCGAACCCGCTTATGAATGAGCACGCACGCGCGCAACCAGCCAGCCAACAAACAACCGTCGCCAACTGCCAACCATCTATTCATCGAGCACACGCCAACATGGATTAGTGACCCGTGGATCTGGCGCGTGGGCGCCAGATCCATGGATCGGGGAAGGTGGCCCCGCCACATGAGGCCAACGCCACCTCGTTTGGCGACAACGCGCGCCGGTGTCGCGTGGAAACGGGACCCGCCGCCGAACCACGCGCATTAAACCATGTTAGCGTTCACTCCGTAGTTAGTCAGCATACCAATCAACCGATTTGCCAAACCTGCAGGCCAGCAGTCCAACAAACTAAAACCAACCGAACAGGCGTAGCGGTGCACGCAGTCTGAGTGGGGCAGCAGCAGAAAACGAAGCCCCTCATAGACTGATAAGACGACGATGGAGGTGATGATGATGGGGATGACGACAACCATGACGACACTGATGATGACGATGATGATGATGATGATGATCACAATGATGATGATGATGATGATGTTGATGATGATGATGATGATGATGATGGTGATGGTGATGGTGATGATGAGGATGGTGATGACGATGATGATGGTGATGACGATGATGATGGTGGTGACGATGATGATGATGACGCTGACGATGGCGATGACGACGATGATGATGACGACGATGCTGAAGATGATGGTGATTATGATGATGGCAAGGATGAGGACTATGCTGATGCTGCTACTGATGATGGTCGTGGTGGTCACGGTGATGGTGACTATGATGATGGTGCTGATGATGATACTGGTGATTCAGATGGTGGATGATGCTGACTACGACGGCGTGAATGCTGATGGTGGTGATGATGTTAATGGTGATGATGACGCTGATGACGCTGATGGTGATGATGAATGTGATAATGATGCTGCTGATGATGATGACGATGATGATGACGATGAGGATGCTGGTGATGGTGATGATGGTGGTGATGGTGATTATGGTGATGATGGTGCTAGTGATTGTGGTGGTGGTGATGGGGGTGGTGATGATGATAATGATGATGATAATGGTGATGGTAATGATGATGATGATGATAATGGTGATGATGATGATGATGATGATGATGATGATGATGATGACGATGACGATGATGATGATGATGATTATGATGATGATGATGATGGTGATGATGATGATGATGATGATGATGATGGTGATGGTGATGATGATGATGATGATGATGATGATGATGATGATGATGATCCACCACCGTGCACTCGGGCACGAGTTGGAGTGTCCTCGGGTCCCCTGCTCGATCCACTGAGCCTCAGCCGGACGGTTCTGTAAGAAGCCGGACCCTAAACTCGCAAATCTCCTCGGGCTTGGCGCGGTTCCTGTGGGCTCTCCCGAGAGGTGGCGCGTGACTTTTTCGGAGCCACAATGGGCCCAAGACGCGCCAAGAGACCTCCAAGAGCTCGCCCAAACGGTCCAGGGGTGGTCCGAACGGTTAAACGTTCGGCCCAAAACGCTCAAGATGGCCTCCATTCGGCCGAAAACGCGCCCACGACGCACCAAAAGGCCTCCAAAAGCACCCCAAAGAGGGCCCCAAGAGGCAAAACTCGTCATACTCCTTGAAGAAAACGTGCACTGCTGGCATACACAACTTGCCAGCCTTCACAATGTCCAAGACGGCCCAAGAGGCCCCAAAGACCGCCCCAAGACGGCCCAAGAGGCCCCCAGGAGGGCCCCACGACGGCCCAAGAGGGCCCCAAGACGGCCCAAGAGGCGACGAAGACGGCCCAAGAGAGTCCCAAAACGGCCCTCCCCAGTGGGAGCCCGAACCAAAACTTCCAGCCTGCCGTCCCAAGATGCCCCCAGGAGGCCCCAAGAGGCCCGCAACAGGCCCCCCATGAGACACCAACGCGGGCCCCAAGAGGCCTCAAACCTGCCTCTACGCGGCCCCCGAGAGGCCTCCCGCGACATCCCAGTGAACACCCTAGAGGCAGATGGCCACCAACCCAGGCACGGTGGCGGGATGGATCAACGGTCAGTATACGATAATGGTGGTCATGATGAGGATCATGATGCCGATGGTGGCGATGATGATGTTGATGATGGTGGCCGCGACGATGGTGATGAAGATGTTGATGACGATGATGGTGATGACGATGATGACGGTAGTGATGGTGATGGTGATGGCAATGGTTATGCGAATGATGAGCGATGGATATGAAAATGCACAATCATATGATTGTAGCAATGATGGTAGTCCATGTGCTGATGATGGTGACGAGCATGATAAAGATGCTGAGATGATGATGGTGGTGGTGATGGTGGTGCTGTTGGTGATGATGGCGATGATGACGGCAATGGTGTCAGCTTGCGATTAACAAATCCGTGGGGGGGGGCGCGTGTTTGGAAAAATAGTTCCCCTGCTCGGACGGGACGCGGGGTGGCGCCCGCCAGACTGAAAATCAACGGGGCGGCGCTGGTGATTAGTGCCGACGCCCGGCCGCCAACGAGAGGCAAGGGGGGGGGTCGGGAGGCAAGGGCAAGCCAGGGCGCCCGTTTTTCTGTCGAACCGATGCGGGCCTGCGGGCAAGGCGGGCTGGGCTGGACGAAAGCGGGGCGCAATCAAGGGGGATTTGCCAAGCAGCTCACGTCGCCGATTTTCCAAGCACCTCCTGGCGCCGAAAGCGGCTGTGCCTCGAGGACTGGCCCTTCGGCGGGGCGACCGAAACCCGCTGCGTGCAGCAGGCTTCGCAACCCCCCCCTTTCCTTCCCCAGCTTTTCGTCCCACCCGAGCAAGGCGGGTGGTCCTCCTCTCCTCCTGTGTTGCCGTCGTCGCCGCCGTCCCCCGCCTTGCCTGCGCCCGTTTCCAGCGGCCGCTCTCTTCGTCGCTCGGGCCTCCTCCTCCTCCTCCTCCTCCTCCTCCTCCGCCTCCTCCTCCTCCTCCTACTCACTCTCCTCCTCCTCCTCCTCCTCCACGTCCTCCGCCTTCTCCTCCGTTTCCTCCCTCCCCCTCCTCTCTCCTCTTCCTTCCTGGCGCGCGTGATTAAAAACAAATCGCGCCCCGCGGGTCTATTCATCAGCCCCGGGGAGGGGTCTGGCCATTTGTTAACCACAAGCTGACATGACTGACAACGATGGTGTTTCTGTTGATGATGGTGATGATGATCATCATCCTGATCATGATCATGATGATGATGATGATGATGCTGCTGCTGATGCTGCTGTTGCGACACATGGTGGTGATGATGACAACGATGTTGATGACAAAGAATACGAAGATAAATGCGATGACAACGGCGGTGGCGACGACGATGACGACAATGATGATGATGATGATGATGATGATGATGATGATGATGATGATGATGATGATGATGGTGATGGTGATGGTGATGATGATGATGATGATGATGATGATGATGGTGATGATGGATGTTGACGATGGTTATGATGACGATGATGACGATGATGATGATGATGATGATGATGATGATGATGATGATGATATGATGATGATGATGATGATGATGATGATGATGATGATGATGATGATGATGATGATGATGATGATGATGATGATGATGATGATGATGATCATGGGCAACGCGACGAACACAATTGCCATCCGCCGACCAAGGTTCGGTGGGGTGCCCCCCGAAGCCCTGGCAACCCACGGCAATGCGAAGGTGTTCTGTGGGCCACGTGGACCGCCCACCCGGAAGCCCGAAGCAACACACGGCCGCGGCGGCGTGGAGGGCCGGGCTCTCCCCCTCGTCCGCCGTGCTTCCTCTGCCCGCGACATCTGGCGGGGCAGCGGCTGCCACGGTGCACCCACTCCGGGCCCTGGGACACACGAGAAATCACACACAAATAAAAAGGTTTCCCATATTTTCCCATATTTTCTGGATTTTCATTTTCCCCCCCACTTCCTATATTTTCTCCCATATTTTCCTGGGGATCGACGATTAATTCTGTCTGTGTGTTGTTTCCCCTCCTGAACAGAAGCTGACCGAAGCTGACGCGGTCGGCGAATCGTGCTCGGGGCGCCCAGAAGTTGGCCCGGCCCTTATGCGCTTGCAGTCCGCATTCAGAGGAATCGAAGTGCAGTCTTCCACGGAAGGGATCTTGTTGTGACCCCCCGCTTAGTGGGCCCTGGAAACGACAGGGCCGTTTTTTCACCAGTTCCGTTTTGCCGTTTTCTTGCCTATTCCGACGCCGTTGTTTTACAGGTCCCGTCGCCGTTTTTTGACCGGTTCCGGCTCCGGGTCCAATCCTGGAGCCGTTTTTTGACGTTTCCGGTCGCCGTTTTTTTGCCGTTTCCATTTTCAAGTGACATTTTTTCGGAAACAGGAAAAAGCGGCCCTGCCGTTTCCGGGGCCCACAACGACCCCCCGCAAAGGAATCCTGGAATGATCCTGATCAGACGGAATCCCGCTTGCGATCCTCAGCGCAGAAATCCCACCAGCCCTCTGGGCGTCGGTGGTTTAGGGCGTTTCAGGGCGTTTCCTCTTCCAGCCCTCCTTCTTCCCCTTCGGGGAGGGGTTTACCCCTCTCCCTACCCCCTCCCCGTGGACCTGTACGGGGGGGGCCGCGAGCGGTCAGAGCGTCCAAAATGGCCTCGGCGAGGAAGCCAAAATCATTGATGGCTTTGGCCCCATTTTGGCCTCCTGGGGGGGCAACCCTAATTGAAGCTCCGCTCTTCTTTGATATATCTCCTCCAAGATGGCACAAAGAAGCGCCCAGGAGGCCCCAAGAGGTCCCAAGATGGCCCCAAGATGGCCCAAGATGGCGATGGCCCCAAGATGGCCCCAAGAGGCCCCCAAGAGGCCCCCAGGAGACCCCCAAGAAGACCCTCAGCGGCCCCAAGAGGCCCCCCCGAGGCACCCAAGACCCTGAAGAGCCCCCCAGAATCGCCAAGAGACCCCCAAGACGTCCCAAGAGGCCACCAAGAATCGCCCAAGAGATACCCTACGAGGCTCCGAGAGGCATCCAAGAGACCTCTGGCCCTTGTGCTTGCCCTCCTCCTCCTCCTCCTCCTCCTCCTGTTCCTCCTTCCTGCTCGTTCTCCTTCTCTTTCTCCTTCTCCTCCTCCTCCGCCTCCTCCTCATCCTACTCATCCTCCTTCTTCCCACTCCCTCATCCATCCATCCATCCATCCATCCACCTCCTCCTTCTCCTCCTCACTCCTTTGCACGGTTCGGCCGTCCTCCTCTTTGCTGCCGCACTTCCCTGATCACCTCAACTCGACTGGACATCGCTTCTGAATGGCCTGGTGGGGATTCTTTTTTTGTTACCAGCCACAGGCGAGCGCGCCGACGGCGTGTCAAGGTCCGAGCGGGCCGCGCAAGGTCCTAAATTACCTAGGACAAACAGGCCTACCGCCACAACTCAGGCCGAGAACAGGAGGTGGCCGAGGGGGAGGGGGCAGGGCTGCAAACTGCCAGGGGCTGCAAACGTGCATCGAGGTGCAGACAAAGCTGGTGGGGATACGTTATTTTGATCTGCGGCCCGCAAGGAAAAGTCCAGAGGGCGTGTCAAGCTGGTGGGGATACGCGAAGCGTCTACAGTCCATTCTAGTTTGCCACAGGGTGGCCCTGAGTCCCACGGGCCGGGCAGGGGCAGAGCCACCACGGAGCTGTTCTGCAAGTTGCCGTGGCCGCCGCCCGAAGAGGGCAGACCTCGAAGTCAAGGTGGGACCATGGCTGCTGCGCTCATTCACCATCCGTGGGCTCACATCAGCCCGAAGGGGCCCTGGGACACACAGATAAATAGGCACAAAAAACCGGATGTCCCCTAGATTTTTCCAATATTTTCTCGGTTTCTGTCTTCCCCACCAGTTGCCACATTTTCTCACATTTTCGGGGGAATCGACGATTCATTGTGTCTGTGTGTTTTTTCCCTCCTGACAACCAAAACCCCACCCAGAGCGTCCGCCCCGATACTGAGGGGGGGGCAGCGCTCCCGTACCTCACTTGCCCGGCAGGGGGGGCGGGCAGCAAGGGAGACCCAGTCCTCCGCGGCTACTGGGGGCCCCTCCAGGCAGGCGCAGTACCCCGCAAGTCTCTGGAGCTCTCCGCCAACCCAGGCGGGCGTTCTCTCGCACAGCCCTGAGGCTGGCAGAGCCTGGCGGGCCACCACCTCGGGCCGGAGGCCAGTTGCCCGGGGCGCAGGGTGCAATGCCGGCCGCCCGCCTGGCACCGCACCGTCTCTCGGGCACACGCAGGGTTGGCCCTGGGCAGGAGGTGCCTTTGGCGCGCGGCTTCCGAGGGGCCGCGGGGAGGCCAGACCCAAGCGAACGAGCCAGTGCTGTGGGCACGCACTCCAAGGTCACTCTGGCGAGGGGCCACTCTGGCGCGCGGCCGAGCCTCCAGCGAGGCCGAGGCGGCAGCCGGGTCGCCGGGGCCGGCGCTGCACAGCCTGCACGCCTCTGCTGCGGGCACGCGGGTGTTGCCCTGGTGGCTGCCGCCGCAAGCGCTGTCGGGTCGGAGCCCAGCTTGGGCCCGGGGGGCGTGGACGGGGCCCCACAGGGCCCGCAGCCACGGGGCGGCTCCAGCATCGCCCCGGCCTCGGGCTCGGAGCGGGCGACGGCCTCAGGGCAGAAGGAGGATAATGACAAGGAGGGCTGCGAATCAGAAACCGATGGTGAACGCAGCGGCAGTTGCTCGCCTCCAAACCAAGCAGCGCGGGTGCGATCTGAAGTGGATTCGCGTGGGCAGACGCCCTCACTCTGGCCGACAGAACAAGGTCGGAGGTATGGGTAGAGAACGGCACTGCGAGACAAGTACATGTGGCCATGAATGTAACACGATCACCTCAACTACCGTACCCTGTATTAGGCGGCACAAGTGCGGCCTTCGCCTCGCTGTCGCAGCAGCAGCCGTGGGGCGGCTGCGGGTACCCCGACGTGTGGCTGCCCATCGCTGAATATCCTGGGGAGGAGGGTGGGCGAAGAGGGTGATCAGCAGCAGGACCAGGAGGACGGGGAGAACGAATGAGCAGGATGACGAGGATGAGCAGGAGGATGGGAGTGCACAGCGAGGTGAAGGATGAGTAAGCGTCAGAGCGCTAGGAAGAGAGTGGGATGGATAGGAGGAACGTGAGGGGCACTATGATGATACATATAGTGAGGAAGAGGACCAGGATCGGGAGGATGATCATCAAAATGATATATAGCATACTGGACCCGGGGGAGAAGGGAAATACACATGGACAGCATACTGAAACCTACGAGGGGGAAGGCAGCAGCAGCAATTGAGGAGGGTAAGGAGTTGGCAGCAGCCACGACACCCCAATCTCTGGAATCATGTGGGCAACGCCGCAAGACTTTTGCGGTCTTACGAGCGCATGAAGCAAATGCGCTGCTGGAGGGGAGAGCTGGGAAGGATTTTAGCTACCCTCCCCGACCTCTTTCTTTCCGCCCCTGGAAGCTCCCTCCCCTTTCTCGCTCTCCGGAAGCTGCTCCTTTACGCTCGATGACATGTTGTTCTCGCCCAGGCCCCGCGCAGATCTTGCGAGCAAGTGCCAGTGCTGCTTCGGCGGCGGCGCATGTGTCGTCTTCGCCGCATTCGTTGGAAGTTTGGCCGCGTGGAGAAAGATAACGTGTGCTCTCGCCTAAGCGCAACGCACACAGTTTCTGGAAGCTCCGCCCGGGCCCTTGCGCGGCTTAATTTCTCCTCCTCGCCATGCCGCCGGGCGTCCTGATGTCAAGTTGCGCCACCATTGGCTCTTATGTTCTGGGGGGGAGGGTGGGAATGAGTGGAGCCCGCTGACTCCTTCGCCTTGGCTGACTTGCTCCCTCCTACTACTCCTCGTCGTCCGAATCACCCTCCTCCTACTCTTCATCTTGCACCCCTCCTCCCCCTTTCCCCTTCCTCCTCGTCCTCCTCCTGATCCTCCTCCACTCCCACCTCCCGTGTGGCCTTTCGCTCCCCACAAGTCTAGACTGAATTTGAGATCCCCATCTTGCTGAATTATCCTAAATATGCTCCTTTTCATCCTGCCTCTTCGCTCATTTCTCCCTTCTCCCTCCTTCGAGCAAGGGCCGACCGTCTCGGCATTCAGGACTACTGCGAAACTCGTTTTTTAAACAATGCTTGCATTTGGGGTCTCCTGTGCGTTTTCTCAGGAACTGGGCCGTGTGGAAAGACTCGCGACTGTGTTGTCGCCGTCGCCGCCCCGTCGCCGTCCGTCGTCTGGGCCGTGTGGCCGCTCTGGCGGTAATGTTGTCGCCCTCGTCACCCCATCGTCGCCTCGTCGCCGCCCGTCGTCTGGGCCGTGTGGTCGGTCTGGCTGGCGGCTATGTTGTCGCCGTCGCCGCCACGTCGCCGCCTCTGGATTGCACCACGAATATATCGCACGAGACAGAAGCACGCCTGCTGCGCGCATCTAGGTCGCTCAAAACATAGACTGCGCTACATATCTTGCACGGCATGGATTCTCCTTTCTAAAAACAGAATAGACGCTACCACCCCCCGGACTTAACGCTTCCCCCTGGGATAATATATTTATATATATATACACATACATATATATTTATATATATATATATATATACACTCTGCACATTCGTCCATCCGAAATATGAAATCAAATCAACCCAACCAAAACGGTATGCCCCCCTGAGGTTCCGTTGTAAACAAACACTATGCGGTGACATTTGTTGTTCTAACATCGTACTTTTTCACGAACCCTTGCAAACAACTGGACGAAGTGCACACGCGCGCGTCGTCGCGCGCGCATGCCGGAATCCTTCAAAAACCTTCGGTGCCGGAAGGATCTCGCAATCGAGTTTCCGAAACACATACAAAAACACATGGTTTCGCAGCACTGATTTGCTAAAACAGCTTCCGCGCGAGCTCTTGCGAAATCCCAAGAAAACCATAGGTTTTTTTCAAGATTTACACAACATGCTACCAAGCGGGCTTCGCGCGCGCGCATGTCGAAATCTGTCGAACGCCCTTGCGCGTGTGCCGTCGCGAGAATCCTCTGCAACAAATGGGACGAAGTGCAGACGCGCGCGTCGTCGCGGGCGCATGCCGAAAACCTTCAAAACCCATCGGTTTCGGAAGGATTTCAAAATCGTGCGTCCAAGAAACCTACAAAAACCCAAGGTTTCGCAACACGGATTTTCAACAAAAGCGTGCGCGCGCGCTCTTGCGTCGTCGTCGTCGTCGTCGTCGCCGTCCTCCCTCCTCCCGCGTCATCGTCGTCGTCGTCGTCGCCTACGTCGTCCTCTGTCTTTTCTCGAGTTCGTCGTCGTCGTCCTCTTTAGCGTCGTGGTCGTTTCCGTCGTCGTTGTCGCCGCGGTCGTCCTTACGTCGTCGTCGTCGTCGTCCGTCGTCGGCGTCTCGTCGTCGTCCCTCCTAATGTGACCGAACGATTATACATATATATATATATATAATAATAAGAATAATAATAAAGAAAAAACGGAAGCAGCACGATAAAAAAAGTTTTACGGGGGGGGGCGCGTAGGACACGATTAGGCGCCGCGACGCCGGACGCTTTGAACCCAGGGCGGCGGCGAAGCGGGCGGCGGTGCCGGCGGGGGGGAGGAGGGGGAGAGGGGAAGAGAGCGGGGGAGGGGGAGGCCGGAGGTGGTTCCCCTCGCCGCCCGTCCTCCCCTCTCCTCCCCGCCTTCCCTCTACCCCCTCCTCCCCTCTCCTCCCCGCCTTCCCTCTCCCCCTGACAGGCGGCGTCAGGCAGCCCGCCGGTCCCGCGACCGCACGCGCCTCCTCGGTCCAAGAAACGCACCCCTCACGCGGACCACGGGGTCTGAGCTAACAGGGGGTTGGGACGGGCAGTCACGACCCTCGCCCCCCTCCCGCCCTCAGGACTGGAGGGGAGGGGGGTCGTGACCTTCGCCCTCGCCCGTGGGAGCCCCCATTCGCCCGCGAACAGGGGGTTGGTACGAACGTTCACGACCCCTTTCCCCCCAGCCGCGGCCGCGGCTGAGGGGAGGCGGGGTCGTGATCATCCGCACGTGGGAGCCCCCATTCGCGGACCCTTCCCGTTCCCTTTCCGCCCCCTCTCCACCCTTCCCTCTCCCCATTTTTTTGTCCTGGGTGTGCGGTGTTTCCGACAAAAAAGGAAACCAAAAATGGGAGACACAGATAAACATGATAATAACAAAACAACGGAAGCGGAAAAAGAAAAAGAAATAAAAAAACAAAAATACAAAACGGGTAGAGGCGGGGCGAGGGTAGCGGAAGGACACGATTGAAAAAAAGTTTCCGGGCGAAAATCCTAATCGGGGCGTTCCTTGTTTCTGGGGGAGGGGGGGGCGGAGAGAGGGGGGTCGCATTTTTTAATCATGTGGTCACATTATTTCGTCGCCGTCGTCGTCGTCGTTGTCGTCGTCGTCTTCCCTCCTCCCTCGTCGTTGTCGTCGTCGGCGTCGCCGTCCTTCCTCCTTCGTCGTCGTTCGCGTCGTCGCCGTCCTCCTTCCTCCCTCGTCGTTGTCGTCGTTGTCGTCGTTGTCGCCGTCGTCGTCCTTGCTCCTCCCTCGTCGTCGCCTTCGTTGGCGTCGTCGTCGTCGTCTTCGTCGTCGGCGTCGGCGTCGGTGTCGTCGTCGAAGTCGTCGGAGACGTCGTCGGTGTCGTCCTAGTCGTTGTCGTCGGTGTCGTCGCAGTCGGTCTTAACAGGTTTTGCAAACCAAGTTGCGGGTGGGTGGGTGTGATGTTTGCGCGAGCAGTGGAGAGGACAGCTTCAAGACAGTCAAAGTGGATTGCACCACATAGATTGCACAACCCAGTATCGGAGGTGAGGGGGTGAGATCGAAGTGCAACGGAGAACCCCCCTACCGGGAAATAGGTTTCGGTTTCGTGTTCGTGCGTGCCGTGCGTCCGGGCGAAGCGAAGCTACGTGGGCGGGCGAGAAGAAAGTCTCCTGTGGCTGAGGCGCGGCCGGACCAAATGATTCCCGTCCGGCAACCGGTGCCGCGCGGTGTCCCGCCGGTGTCCCGCCGGTGTCCCGAAAATAATGATGATGATGATGATGATGATGATGATGATGATGATGATGATCATGTCGATGAAGATGATGATGATGGTGATGGTTGTGATGATGATGGTGTCCCGGTGATGATGATGACGATGTTGTGGATGATGATGATATCGTGATGGTGGTGATGATGATGGTATCCCGATGGTGATTACGATGATGATGATGTTGACGGTGATGCTGCTGCTGATGATGATGGTGTGCCGATGGTGATTGCGCTGATGAGAGTGATGATGTGGATGATGATGGGATGATGATGATACCATGATGGTGGTGATGAAGATGCTGATGATGATGATCGTGTCCCGATGATGATGGTGATGATGAGGTTGATGATGATACTGCTGATAATGATGGTGATGATGATGATGGTGTCCCGATGGAAATAACTATGTTGATAAAGCTGATGACGATGTTGGTGTCTCGATGATAATGATGTTGATGATGAAGATGATGATGGGGCTATGCTGATGATTTTGATGATGGTGGCCCGGTGATGGTGATGAGTCTGCTGATGTTGATGAGAATGATGGTGTCCCAGCGATGATGATGATGGTGATGATGATGATGGTGTCCCGATAATGATGGTGTCCCGATGATGATGATGTTGATGATGATTATGCTGCTGATGATGGTGGTGTCCCGATGATGATGATGATGATGATGATGATGTTGATGATGTTGTTCATGATGATGAAATGATGATGATAATGGTGGTGTTCCGATGATGCTGATGGTGTCTCACTGATGATGATGCTGATGATGAAGATGATGGTGACGATGATTGGCCGGTGCCCGCGGCCAATGGCGCGGCCGCAGCGCGGCCCACGGCGCGCCGCGGCGGGGCTTGCGGCCGTCGCGGGACCTCCCCAGCCCGCTCCGCGGAGGAGGACGAGGAGGAACAGGAGCCCGAAGGA